GGGACCTCCAGTCCTGGGGCCTCCTGGGATACATTTCGTCCTCCTGGGGCCTCATGGGGCCTATCATCCTCTTCGGGTCGTCCTCCCCTGGTCCTCCTCAGATACTCCTCCGATCCTGTTCCGAGCGTCCTCCTCCGATCATCATTCGCCGATCCTCTTTTCACCTTCCCCTCCACCTCTTTTCCCTTGTTACTGCACTTCAACAACAATAACAACAAAAGCAGCAACAAAACAACAACAACCACAACAACAATAACAAATAGCACCGCTTTCTTTCAAAAACAAACAAAGCAAACAAACAAACAGACAAACAAACAAACAAACACGTCGGGGATCTGTATAGAGACCCAAACCTCCGACGCCATGAGCGTTCCACGACGTGGGCCCCCCGAAGTCTGGAGCCCTCGAGTAGGAGATCGACTACAGAATTGATGACCCCCAAATTGATTCGTTCGCCGAAACAACGAGAGACAACGTGAAATGTTCGCAGTTCTACGAGGACGTTCTACGCATGTTCTCGAGGTCTGGGGTGAATCGATTTTGAGGTCGATCCCCCACTCGAACCCCTTCCACAGGAGCGGTTTTTCGTCCCGAGCCCTTGTCTGAAGGTCCCGGGGCCTGGCGAGGGCCCTCGGAAAACCGAAAGAACTCCCAGTTTCTTAATAGGCGTCGGGGGGGCGTCACCCGCGCCGACAGCCCCACAGCGACCCCCGTTGCGGGCAGCCACCGCGCGCCGAAGGCGCTCCGACCCCCGTCGCGGAGCGACGACGATGCGAGGTCGACCCCCGTCAGGGGGGTACCCCCCCACGCTGATTAAGAAACCCGAAGTAGCCAAAACAGTCCACCGGGATTATTTCCACGACGCGAGGGGCTGGTCTTCGGGCCATGGCTCGAACGTCCGGCGGCAGACTGGGACGATCTGGACACGCCTGGAACGCTCTCGACGAGGCGCGGGTGCGTGAACGCATCCCGAGGCCAGAAGACATCCGAGAACCTGGGAAAACTTACGAAAAACCCGATCTCGAGTACAGGGGGGTATGGGGAAAAGGGGGGGGGCGACGGGAAAAAGGGGGAGCCCGGGAGAGGAGGAAGGGCTGGGGGCTCCCAGGCGGCGCCAAAGAGTCGGAGGCCGCGTCGTAGCAGAAGACCTCGCCCTCGAGCTCCTGGCCGTGAATGGTGACCACCTTCACGGGCGTGCCGAGGAAGGTGCTCTGGAGCGACGTCCCGATGGACGCGGGCATCGCTTGCCGCCAGGATGGCTACAACCTTCCAGGACCCCCTTGCGTCGTGAACAAAAATGACGGAAGATGTTGGGCAATTTTCGGGCTCTGGGGGGCCTCACCAGGCCCTGGGGACAGTCGAAAAATGGCCCGGGATGAAAATCTGGTCACAGGGAAGAGTTCTGTGCCCCTGGGAGGTCCACGTCATGAAAAAGGAACACTGGATGCTCATTCTGGGGACCTTCCTGGAGACACTCGCTCCACCCGTGCGTCAAAGCTGCGTCGAACGTCCGTCGATTTGAGTCGACTTTGAGTCGAAACTGAGTCGAACTGCGGTCGAATTGCGGCCGAACCGGAGTCGAGCAGATCCCCGTTCGGTGGGCCCCAGGAAGGTCTCCGAAACGAGGATTGAACAAACATGACCTCGGGGGTCTGGGCTGCCGGTGTCAAGGTCACCGTATCAAATCTCGGCGCCCACCAAAGGGGGGGAGAACCCTGAGGGGGGGGGGAGTTCGATCCGCTGGTGCATCGACCTTCCGGAAAACGATGCCCCCCACGCGCCCCGACTGTCGACACCCCTCGGGTTCTGGCGGCGGCCGGAGACCTCGTTTTGCCTCGTCTCTCCCCGGCTCGATGCGCCAACGGACCGAACTCACGCCCCCCCTGTGGCCCCCCCCCCCAGAGGAGGTGGAGGAGGAGGAGGAGGGGGAGGAGGAAGGAGGAGGAGGAGGAGGAGGAGGAGGGAGAGGAGGAGAGGATGAAGAGAGGTGGAGGGAGGAGGAGGGGGAGTAGGATGATGAAGGAAGGAGAAGGGAGGAGGATAGATGGAGAGGAGGAGATGGAGGAGGAGGAGGTGGTAGGAGGAGAGGAGGAGGAGGAGGAGGAGGACCCTCTGCGAGGCCCCGAAGATCGGCTCCCGCGGCCCACGCGGGCGCGTCGGGTCGGCGGTGGGCCCCCGGACCCCCCCCGCGCTCCGGGCGCGCACGGGAGTCGCGCCAGGGGCGCCGCTGGCGGGGCGCCCCGCGCCGACACCAAGATCTCCACCTCACTCCTCCTCCTCCTCCTCCTCCTCCTCCTCGCTCCTCCTCCTCCTCCTCCCTCCTCCTCCTCCTCCTCCTCCTCCTCCTCCTCCTCCTCCTCCTCCTCCTCGCTCCCCCTCCCCCTCCCCTCCCCTCCCCCTCCTCCTCTCCCTCCTCCTCCTCCTCCTCCTCCTCCCCTCCTCCTCTCCTCCTCCTACCTACTCCTCCCTCCTCCTCCCCCTCCCCTCGCCCCCCCCCTCCCTCATCCTCCTCCTCCTCCTCCTCCTCCCCCTCCTCACTCCTCCTCCTCCTCCTCCTCCTCCTCCTCCTCCTGGAGGCATCCGAAGAGAAACCCCGAGATCCTGACGCTGCAATGTCTCACGCCGGGCGTTCTTGCCCCGTTTCGGGCCCCGGGGCCCTCGCAGATCGACCATGCTCGAAACCTGAAGCAGATAGCCGGGGTCCAGGGCTCTGGTCGGGCTCTTTTGCGATGTTGCAAGCTTCTCGCAACATCGGATCTAAGGGCCTACCCCCACCAGCCATCGATTCTTATGAACCGGCGGGAGGCGGGGGTAGGATTCGGATTCCGCCACGTGCTCGACGAATCCCGAACCCGATCCCCGCCGCCATCATCTCATCGAGTTGCTGGAATTGGTGGAACGGCGAGGGCAGGGCTCGGATTTCGCGGCCGATCCGAAAGTCTCTGCCGCGCCGTTTCAAGCTCCCCGAGACCTGGCGCCCGGCTGCGCCTCCCACTATCCACGGCCGGAGCCAAAAAACGGCTCCGCTGACAGGCGGGCCCCCGCTGCCAGAGCCCTGTGCTGTGGCCTCGCCGTGCGGACGGGAAAGAAGAGGCTCTTGGCATACCCCAAATCGACGAGCGCGCTCCACGACTCGCAGAGCGACTGCTCGCAAATCGCCTGGATCATTCGCGGGGCATCTGCGGCAAATCACGTCGAAGCAGACACGTGTTTTTCGGGCGTTTGCGAATAGGCACGCTGCGAGTAGTGGAGCGCGCAGTGAGCCGCCTGATCCGCGGCCCCGCGCGCGTTAGGTAATTTAGTCGCGTCCGCGGCCCGTTCGCGACCTCCCGCCGCTGGCGCTTCCGCCTGCGGCTGTAAAAAACAAAAAAAAGAAAAAAGAGCAGTGGAGCGCGCTCGGTGACCAAAGGGGGGTGTCCGATGCCCCAGCGCGGGGGTTGGACCCGCAGGGGCCGGGGCAGGGTTCGCGTGAGCGGTGGCCGAGATCGGGGCCCGCGCCCGTGCCTGCTGGGGGTTGGGCGAGGGCTGGGCCTGCTGCCACGGTTCACCTCGGGGCCGACGGACCTCGGGAAATCGGGGCTCCAGGCCCCAGGCTCTGCCCGGGGGTCGGGCGAAGGCTGGACACGCTGCTGCTGGTCCACTGCGGAGGAGGAGGAGGAGGAGGATGCCTTTGAGACTCTAGGGTCCCGAGCTTACTCGCCTCGCCCCGGCCCGCGCGGCCAGGTGGTCGGCTGTCGGGTCAGGGGCGGGGGGGGTACTGAAGCGTAGACCTGTCAGACCCGGCCACTCCAGCCTGCCCGGCACACCGCTTCCATGCTGGACGTCGAAGTCGGCGACGACGACGACGACGACGACGACGCTGACGACGACGACGACGACGACGACGACGACGACGACGACGACGACGACGGCGGCGGCGGCGGCGGCGGCGGCGGCGGCGTTGGCGGCGGTGGCGGCGGCGGAGACGGCGACGGCGGCGGCGGCGGCGGCGGCGGAGACGGCGACGGCGGCGGCGACGGCGGCGACGGCGACGGCGACGGCGACGGCGACGGCGATGGCGACAACGATCAACTGCATTGTTTGTGAAATGGGGGCCCATACAAGGCGCTGCGGGCATTTCGGATGCTCGTCAACTGCGCCCGCATTCCCGACTAAAACCAGAACCAGCAAGTGATATATATATATATAGAGAGAGAGAGAGAGAGCTCGATTGTGTAGCATACTACAGCCTCATTTGAACAACATTGGCCGCCAAAATGACGCGCAAACCAATAGATCACTTCGCAAACTAGGACCCTCGACATCTGCAAGCGCTAATAGGTTCGACATGCTGGCTCTCATGTCGCTCTTTTCCGAGAGCCCCGACGAATCAAGAGCACCCAGCGCCCTTCTGCCGCGAAAAGCGCGACGCCCCGCAAGGCCGTGGGCATCAGCATATCCAGCCGCCTGCCCCTTCCACTCGCACCAGGGAGAGATGGGCTTGACGAGGAAGCAAAAAAGGATGATGGTCATGCTGACGCGCCCGTGGAAGGCGGGTGACTGCACTTGATGACCAACTGATCTGCGCCTGGATCGTAAATCTAATACTGGCGGCGAGCGCGAGGGGAAGTGAGTGAGAAGGGGGGGTCTTCTCAGAAGGCTCGGAAATCCTCCGGCCTTCTGAGAAATGTTCCTAGCCTTCCGCGAAGACACCGGAAACCTCTCAGAAGGCGCGAGGCCTTCTGAGAAGTCCTGGCACCTTCTGAGAAGGCCTTCTCCTTCTCATGTCCCTGCCCCTCGCTCGCCGCCGAACTGCGCTGCGCTATGGTGCGAAGGCAGCGATGGCCGTGCGCATTTCTTCAAAGCTGGCGGACATAGCCATCAGCGATGCAAACCCGCCTTGAGCTGGCTACGTGTGGCAGTCTCGCACGGCAGGGCCCGTCCACCACACAATGCTCAGCACATCCAACGATCCAAACTCGATGGAGCGGCAGGCAGCTGTCCCTTCCCTCCCTTCCCACCGCCGCCGCCGCCGCCCAAGCTCGACGGCCCAGAGCCAGGGTCGAACGTGTTGGGCGACCCACCTGGAGGCAGACAGAGTGGGCACGCTCTTGCGCGCTGGACAGTTAGCCCTGGCCTGACATTCACGCGCATGTCGACGCAGTCTGCTCACCCCCGAAAGCCACGCTGCGCGAGACTATTCGGAAACATGTGCTTGCGGGGGCTGAAAATACCAAATGAATGTGGTCAGAGATTGCTGAGGGAACGCGCCAAGGACGAGATATACACGCGTACGCACATTACACTAGCAGCCAACCCGTCGTCGCGCGCAAACCTGTGCTGTCCGAACACCTGGCTCGCACAACTCGTGCTCGCAAAGCCGCCATACAAGGCTGGACCTCCGCATCACGTGTGGGAATGAACAAAAACAAAATAGCCACCAGGCGGCGTTCCTTGAGGTGGTGGTACGGGCGGTCCTGCTCACCCGTGCAAATATCACAAATAATCTTCACGTTGCATCGCTGAGAACAACGGCCGATGAGAGAAACATACATGCGCAAAGTAATGGATCGGCTAGCTGTGCGACGGACATGTAGAACGTTCGAAGATATCTGGCATTCCAACCGTCGCGCGCCCGCGCAAGATTTCACGGCTCGGGTGGCGCGTGCACATCATCCATCAATGATAATTCGGTTCCCACTTCGGTTGCATCCATGATAGTCTAGATTGGGCTTCAGATAATGCTGAACTCTAAGATCTCCAATCCATTCCGCTCACACCCTTCGCCATCAACCACGACGATTCGTCGCCCCAGTCCGAGACAGACAATGGTTCGCCCTCCTTCCTATCCTGTCCCGCCTCCTCCTCCTCCTCCTCCTCCTCCTCCTCCTCCTCCTCCTCCTACTCTTCCATTCCTTCTCCTTGAACATATTTGCCAGCGTGGACCACGAACTGTAAGCTATTGCGCTGGATGTGCAAGCTATGTGGTGCAAGCTTTGTGGTGTAAGCTATGTAGTGCAATACTTGGTGCAAGCTAGAGGTGGCAACGAGGCGGCAACGGGTGTCGACGTGGCGGAACCTCGCCGGACCCCTCCAGCACGCCAGGCGGCAACAGGGCGGCAACGGGCGGAAACGTGGCGAAACATCGCCGGACCCACCCAGCGCGCAAGGCGGCAACAAGGCGGCAACGTGGCGAAGCATCGCCACGCGCACCCAGCGCACGAGGCGGCCACGAGGCGGCCACGGGTGGCTTCCATCCCTTCCCATTAGACATAGGTCGCCCTTGCCGCACCCCCAGTGGTGTCTGTAGGGCGGACGGGGCGTCTCGCTTTCGAGTCCCTGACCATTTGTGATCATGGCGCTTGATATGGAGGCGTTCTCGAACGTGGTTCTTGTCTCAGCGCCGCGCAAATGAGCTGGAAAGTAATATTTCCCAACCATCCTGTGGTGTTGGGTCTTCGTTTTGAAGAGACAGCGCCCCGCGTCCACTTCCTCTTCCTCCTTCCCCCTTTACGTTTCACCCACCCAGTACAGGCGTTTCGTGGCCCCACAGGGAGCTCCAACGAAGGCCCCAGTGCCAACGCCCGCGTGCGTCACCCACACCAATTTCGTCACACCCCTCGCACATTTCGTGGCCCCAAAGGGAGCTGCAACGAAGGCCCAGGTGCCGCCGCCCGCATGCGTCACCCACGCCCATTCCGGCACACCCCTCACGCGTTTCGTGGCCCCATCGGCCATGGGGAGCTCCACCGAAGGCGCTAGTGCCACCGCCCGCATGCGTCACCCACACCCATATCGTCGCACCCCCCACACGCTTCGTGGCCCCATAAGGAGCTCCACCAAAGGCCCCAATGCCACCACCTGCATCGTCCGTCACCCACGCACACTCCGGCACACCCCTCATGCGTTTCGTGGCCCTATTGGGAGCTTTACCGAAGGCCACAGTACCACCGCCCGCATGCGTCACCCACACACATTTCGGCACACCCCTCATACGTTTCATGGCCCCATAGAGAGCTCCACCGAAGGCCCCAGTGCCACCGCCCGCATGCGTCACCCACACCTATTTCGTCGCACACCTCACACGTTTCGTGGCCCCATGGGACGCTCCACCGAAGGCGCCAGTGCCACCGCCCGCATGCGTCACCCACGCCCATTCCAGCACACCCCTCACGCGCTTCGTCGTCCCATAGGGAACTTCATCGAAGGCACCAGAGCCACCGCCCACGTGCGTCGCCCACACCTATTTCGTCACACCCCTCACACGCTTCGCTGCCCCATAGGCAGGGAGCTCCACCGAAGGCCCCAGTGCCACCGCCCGCATGCCTCACCCACGCACGTTTCGGCACACCCCTCACGCGTTTCGTGGCCCCATGGAGAGCTCCACCGAAGGCGCCAGTGGCTGCGTTCGCATGCGCCCACCGCACCCATTTCGGCACGGTCCCAGTGGCGGCGTTCGCATACGCCCACCTCACCTATTTCGGACACCTCTCACGTGTTTCGTGGCCCCATAGGAAATTCCACCGACTGCCCAAGTGGCTGCTTTCGCATGCTTCCACCGGACAAATTCTGGCACACCCCTCACACGTTTCGTGGCCCTATAAGGAGCTCCTCCGAATGTGGTGCATACAACGACGGTACTCACAACTGGTTGGGTCCGTCGCCAGGCTAATTTTCGAATTGGGGCTCTCGCCTGGGCGTCGCGCACATTCGTCGTAGAGGTTCACAACAGTTACGCGGATGAAAGCGAACCACTTTCAAAATGGAAAGCCGGCCTCAACACCGGGCTCGCTACCATTGAATAATGCAAACACAGGGCTCTCGCCTGAGCGCCGAGCACATCCGTCGTAAAGTTTTACAACACATACAAATATGGAGACTGGTACATTTTCAGGAAGGGGGTCACGCTCTCGCGCCGAGCACAATCGTTTTTAAAGCGTGCAACGGCTTCAAAGGTGTAGCGCGGCTTGTTTTGAAAACGGGGTTCTCGCTTTGGCTCCGCCATATTCGTCCCAGTGGCCTGCAGCAGCTCCAAGACTGAAGGAATGTTATGTTGCAAAATGTGGTTCCCCCTTGAGACGCCGTCAACTTGAACGACCAAAAGGTTTAACATAAAAGCAAAATCGCGAAATCGCGAAGTGAGGGCGACACCTCAATTCCCCAACCTGGCTTGTCCACAGGAGTCCAGGCTCTTTGCCACAAGAACGAATCCATGGCACCCACTCGCCCCTGCAAGTCTAACCTTGCACAACTTTGGACGATGAAAACAAGTTCTACGAGTTGCATGGCTTCCACGTCATCCTGGTCCGATCCTTCCTACCCTGCCCTATCGAGAATTAGTGGTCGCACGTCTCGCCCTAGTAGTAGTAGCAGTAGTAGTAGTAGTAGTAGTAGTCGTCGTAGTAGTAGTAGTCCTAGTAGTAGTAGTAGTAGTAGTAGTAGTAGTAGTAGTAGTAGTAGTAGTAGTAGTAGTAGTAGTAGTAGTAGTAGTAGTAGTAGTAGTAGTAGTAGTAGTAGTAGTAGTAGTAGTAGTAGTAGTAGTAGTAGTAGTAGTAGTAGTAGTAGTAGTAGCAGTAGTAGTAGTAGTTAGTAGTAGTTAGTAGTAGTAGTAGTAGTAGTAGTAGTAGTAGTAGTTAGTAGTAGTTAGTAGTAGTAGTAGTAGTAGTAGCAGTAGTAGTAGTAGTGGTAGTAGTATAGTAGTAATAGTAGTAGTAGTAGTAGTAGTAGTAGTAGCGTAAGTAGTAGTAGTAATACAGTAGTTAGTATAGTAGTCAAAGTAGTAGTAAAGTACGTAGTAGTAGTAGTAGTAGTAGTCCGTAGTAGTAGTAGTAGTAGTAGTAGTAGTAGCAGTAGTAGTAGTAGTAGTAGTAGTAGTAGTAGTAGTAGTGGTAGTAGTAGTAGTAGTAGTAGCAGCAATAGCAGTAGCAGTAGCAGCAGCAGGAGTAGTAGTAGAAGTAGTAGTAGTGGGAGCAGTAGTAGTAGTAGTAGTAGTAGTAGAAGCAGCTGCAGCTGCAGTACTAGTAATCGCACCTGTGCTCGTAGACCACCAAGTGTTCGTGAAGGCAGTGCAGTACTCACTAAAGTCGTAAAATGCTCGCGAAGTAATACAACAACATAGTACGACTGCTCGCGTGACTAGCAAAAATAATAGTCATGGTGGTGGCTGCAGTAGTCGCAGCAGCAGCAGCAGTAGTAGCAGTAGTAGTAGTAGTAATAATAATAGTAATAGTAGTAGTAGAAGTAGTCGTAATAGTAGTAGTAGTCGTCGTCGTAGGAGTAATAGTTTTAGTAGTAGTAGCCGTCGTAGTAGTAGTA